AAATTAAAGCACACGCCTTAATTTGGGTGGCTGCCCAACCACTGCTGAAGGGCATCCAAACACACAGAAAGTTCCCAGTGCTTCTAAATAACTGGTTCCACTATTGATTTTTTTTTTATTCACATCCGACTAGAAGCTGCCTTCCTGTCACTTATGTCCCTTGTTCCATGTTCTGCCCAGTAGAGTGGTGTAAGCTTTCATCCCACAAAGGTCACTTTGCCAGATGAATGAAGCTGGAAATGGGGAAGTCTTTTTTTCCCACTGAAAAAAATAGATTCTTTCTGAAGCAAAGCCATAGTTAAACAAGGATTAGGTTACCTTTTCATATCTTTCAACTCCCTGCTTTCTTCTCCCTTCCCTCCTTTTCCCTCCACCATACAGGGAACAGGGAAAGCTGATGCCAATTCAGAGAATTTTTGGAGTTAGACTCCAGGTTGTTTGCCCCTGCAAAGTTCTCACCAAATCTGGATGAATTTCTAAGCTCAAAGTTAAGCTTAGAGGGTGGGAAGGCCCGTGAATGCTAGATGTGCAGTAGCACGCATGTATTTGACCTTGTAAAATGCAAATAGATACAAACCTAATTGTTATGTATTAACATACTCACCTGCAACTGGTCGGTCCGTGGCAGCAGGAAATTTGAAGAGCCATCACTGGCCACAGCCGCAAAAACCCGACTGTAAAAGGGCTTCCGCGGTTTCTTTGGCACTCAGTCCTAGAGTGAAGTAAAGACAACTGGTTACTACGCTGGTGTCTTGAGTCTCACTCCTGTGATCTAACACTGGTGACAAGGGTGGGATACTGAGACAAAGGGAACCAGTGAGCACATGGCGATCAATGAACACCGGCAACTCATCGAGACGAAATGGCCGGAAATAACATGCCACCCGCACCGTTCGATCCAGCAACTGAAGACTGGGAATCATACATAGACCGATTCTTCATGTTCCTCGAAGGGAGTGACCTCAATAACATATCTGAACACAGGAAGAGAGCCGTCTTCCTCACACATTGCGGTTCCGCTGTATTCAAGCTGGCCAAAGTGTTAGCGGCACCCACTGACGTGAAAACGATGGCCTGGCCAGACCTGGAAAGAATACTGAGGACTCACTACACACCAACCGTTTCCTGCCTCATCAAACGACACGAATTTTATCGGTGTGACCAAAAAGAAGGTGAGAGCATTGGCGATTTCGTTGCAACTCTGAGGGACATCGCCGGAGCGTGCGAATTCCAAAACATGGATGAAGCCATTAGAGTCCGAGTGGTCCTGGGACTGAGAGATCTTACACTACAAGGTCAACTATTAACAAAACCCAAAATAACACTCAAGGAAATAATAGAAAAGGCTACCACAGCAGAAGCAATGCAGAAATTGGTGGCCGCCATGTGGAAAATGAATAAAGTACCACTGGAAACCCCTAAAAAACATCACCACAACCCACCACAAGGACATCGAGTCCACATCAGAAGAAGATGAGGAAGGCGAAGGGGTAAATCAACTCCATTCGGAACAGGGCAGAAGGGATCAGAACGTAAAAAGGAAGAATTTCGTTGTGCCGGCTGCTAGGGGAACCACGTTCCGAGTGCCGTTTCCTTGATGCAATCTGCAAGCATTGTGAATGATGGGGACATATTGCTAGGGCATGCCGAGCCAGAAAAAACTACAGCCCTAGACAAAGATGGAACACCCCCCCCCCCCCCGAGAGAGGGAGAAACAAACAGGGAGCCGTTGGAATCAAGACAACCGAAACAGGCGAGGAAAACAGTCAAGCAGCAGAAGAGATGGAACACACCAGACGGTGACCATAGGACACTCCAACACGACAAACGCCAGGAAAGACTATGTCCAGGTAACAATAAAGGGCCAACCCTGTCGGATGGAAGTGGATTCTGGCTCATATTTGTCAATGGTATCATGGGACACGATAAAAAGACTGATACCAAACATAAACCAGGAAGAACTCAAAAGACAAACACTGACGCTGAAAGACTACCAGAGAAACAAAATACCCATAGTGGGCACCGGAAAATTCAAGGTAACATTCAAAAAATACACCAGAGTCCTCTCACTAATCACAGTTGACAGGAATTGGCCAAGCCTACTGGGACTTGAATGGTTTGCACCTTTGGGAATCGAAGTCACAGGAATAAACAGTATCACCGAGACAGAGTGGGAAGAGAACTTGATGGAAGAATTCCAAGATGTGTTCGACAGAGAGCTGGGCAAGTACCGGGGGTCCCTAATTTCCTTTAATCTAAACCCAACCATAGCCCCTATAAGGTTAAAGGCAAGGCGGGTTCCTTTCACACTCAAACCAAAGATCAATGAGTAATTGAATAAACTCATCATACAAGGGGTTCTAGAGCCAATTGACCATGCAAAGTGGGAAACCCCAATTGTTACACCAATTAAACCAGATGGGTCTGTGCGCATCTGTGGAGATTACAAAGCAACCCTTAGCCACACGCTCCAACACAGCACATACACTGTCCCAGTGGTACAGCATCTATTATATTCCCGGGGGGGGGGGGGAATCTTCATGAAACTAGACCTCGCATAGGCCTACCAACAATTAACCATCGACCCCGAAACAGCAGAAGCCCAGATAATCGTAACTCACAGGAGGGCATTCAAATGCAACAGATTACAGTTTGGCGTCAGCATCGCCCCAAGAGTGTTCCAGAGCTTAATGGAATGCCTATTGCAGGGAATAAAAGGGGTGGTGCCATACTTTGATGATGTCCTCATATCAGCCAAGGACAAAGAACAATTGCAGGACCGCCTAAGGGGAGTCCTAAGTAAATTCAAGAAGGCAGGACTAAAAGCAAAAAAGGAGAAGTGCCAATTAGACGCCAGCAAAGTTGAATTCCTGGGATACTTTATAGACAGCGAAGGAATCCACAAGTCAGAGCAATCAAAGAAGCCCCCAGACCCACAAATAAAACTGATCTGCAAGCTTTCTTAGGACTCATTAACTTTTATAATATATTCCTACCACAGAAAGCAACAATTGCGCAACCACTACACAGGTTGCTTGACAAGAAAGCAACCTGGGCCTGAGGGCAACAGGAAGAAATGGCATTCCAGGAAATAAAAAATTTGATCACATCAGACCACATACTAATACAATACAGCAAAACACTCCCAATAACCCTAACCTGTGACGCATCACCTTTCGGCGTCAGCGCTATCCTCAGCCATGTATTACCAGATGGGAAAGAAGGACCCATAGCATTCTATTCAAAAACCCTGTCAAAGCCGGAGCGGAACTACAGCCAACTAGACAAAGAGTCATTGGCCACTGTCACGGGAATAAAGCGTTTCCACGAATATATCTATGGGAGAACTGTCACCCTAGTCACAGATCACAAGCCACTCCTGGGCATCATCGCAGGAAACAAAGCTACACCTAACATACTGTCACCGCAAACGACGCGATGGTCGGAATTCTTGGCTGCCTACAACTACAAATGAACATACCGACCCGGAAAGGACATAAATCATGCTGACGCGCTTAGCCATTGCCCTCTACCTGACATAGAAGACAACCCAGCACCAACCACTTTGACCTTTCAAATAGAGACATTAGAAAACCTACCCATAACAGCAGCAGACATCGCTAGGGAAATGACTAGACAAAAAACCCTGGTGCAAATTTTAAATTGGGTAGGAAAAGGATGTCCAGAGACTGAGATTGATGAGACCACCAAACCGTTTCAGAATAGACAAACAGAACTCTCAATGTTGAAGGGGTGTGTACTATGGGGGGATCGGGTGGTCATACCGGACGTTTTAAGGAAAAGCATACTAGAAATGCTACATGAGGGACACCCAGGTATTGTAAAAATGAAATCCCTGGCAAGGAGTTATGTATGGTGGCCAGGAATGGATAAGGAGATAGGGGACTGGGTGGCAACATGTAAACACTGCCAGGAATCTAGGCCAACACCCCTCACAGCACCAAAATACGAATAGGAAACACCAAGGGGACCATGGTCAAGATTACACATTGATTTTACGCATCCAACCAAAGGATACACATTTCTAATAGTCGTAGATGCTTACTCCAAATGGCTAGAGGTAAACATCATGCACTCCACCACGACAGAAGCCATCATTAGACAGCTCAGGAAACTTTTTGCAACACATGGATTGCCGTATGTAATTGTATCTGACAACGGGCTACAATTCACAGCAACAACATTCAAGGGATTTCTAGCACAACATGGGATAAGGCTGACAGCGCCGGGACACCCGTCGACGAATGGATGGGCGGAACGCCTGGTACATTACACTAAGGAAACATTACAAAAGCTGGGGCCCGGGGACACACAAGAAAAGATAGATAAGCTACCAAGCATACAGCACATGACTCCCTGTGCCACAACAAATAAAAGTCCAGCAGAATTACTAATGGGGAGAAAACTAAGATCACACCTAGACAGACTGCACCCCACATATAGCCCAGAAAAACCAGCAGACTCCTCCAGTAATAGCCGGACATTTCAAACAGGGGACCCAGTATACGCAAAAAGTCTTACAAGGGAATTATTGTGGATACTGGCGAAGGTGACCCAGATAACAAGACCCCGTTCATACATGGGAGACACCACGGATGGGAGGAGCTGGAAGAAACACATAGACCAGCTCAGATCTAGAGTTACAAAGGGCGACCCAAACCAAACCACGGAAGAGGGGGAAGAACCCTCAAACAAATCCAGGGAAGAGGGGGGAGATCTCTCAAACATAACCATAGGGGAGGGGGAGACCCCTCAAACACAAGGAGAGAGGGAGGGGGAGACCCTCCACGAGCAAAAAGAACAACAGAACAAACCCTGACAACTACAAACACACAACAACAACCACTAACATTAGCCCAAGTTGGAAAATGCAAGCACGTACCTGGGACCAGGGAAGAAGGAAGATCGGGGAGACAGGAACAGGTCAAGAAGGATAGTGGGGAAGCAGTCCCTGGCAGGAAATTCCTGGCGGAAGCGGCATGACCGACTCAACTTTCCAGGAGGTTCCAAGAAGAAGGACGGGAGGAACAACAGATCCGTCCGAACGATCAAGAGGCCAAACCGCGACTGAATTGCGCAGGTCCAGTCGGACCCATAAAAGCCCTGCCTACCTACATGATTACGTATGGTAGGTGAGGCTCAGATTGGTTGGACCAGACCAGGTGGGGAGGGGTGTTATGTATTAACATACTTACCTGCCGGTTGGTCCGTGGCAGTGGGAAATTTGAAGAGCCGTCACTGGCCACAGCTGTGAGCAGCCCGAATGTAAAAGGGCTGCCGTGGTTTCTTCGGCGCTCAATCCTAGAATGAAATAAAGACAATTGGTTACTACGCTGGTGTCCTGAGTCTCATTCCCACAATCTAACACTAATCAAGAAGGTAAGTGGTAATTGGCAATCAGCACAATTAATCTTTTTCGTACTTTTCTGCTTGTTTGTGGAAGTGACCACTTCACAAGGACAAAGAAAATGCTTGCTTAAGAATAGAATTGTTTAAGGTGCCACGACAGCTTTGTTATTCAACAAGAACCATTTTATGTCTAGTGTGTCTAGCTGAATGTGTGCAACCCAGTCTCAGCTCAGAAGTTCAATAGGTCAGGCCAGATCCACTGATGGAAAACCAGGAAACTCTCGTAGGCTGGGCTAGAAAATTATACAAAAGAAAAAGAGGCAATGACAAAGCCCTCTTGAATTAAATGCCAGGAAAATTGCATAGATATGGCAAGTGGTCATTAGAAAAAAATGGATTCAATTTCACCTTTAAACTATAACTAGAATAGCAATGAAAGATTGAGGGCAATAGAAGAAGGGGACGACAGAGAATGAGTGGCTGGATGGAATCACTGAAGCAGTCAGCGTGAGCTTAAATGGACTCCAGAGGATGGTAGAGGACAGGAAGCCCTGGAGGAATGTTGTCCATTCGGTCGCAATGGGTCGGGCATAACTTTGCAACTAACAACATAATAGCAATAGCACTTAGGCTTATATATAACTTCACAGTGTCTTACAACCCTTTCTAAGTGGTTACAGAGTCAGCGTATTGCCCCCAACAATCTGGGTCTTCATTTTACCAACCTCAGAAAGATGGAAGGCTGAGTCAACCTTGAGCCTGATGAGATTTGAACTGCTGGTTTTAGAAATAAGAAAATTCAAAAATAAAATGTAGGTGAATAGAATAGTATTAAGAAGACAGTTGCTCTATAGACATTTACTATCTTGATGTAACCTGTAAAAATATTTTCTAATACATTTACTCATTGTTAAACATGTACCTGCAATCTATTACATCCTCCTGTATCAAGTAATGCCAACCCTATTTCCTCCAGGAATCGGTATGTATCTCAAACTGTCAAGGCAATTCACATACACATTTGACACAACAAAAGATCAATTAGGAGGATAATATGAGAAGAAATAAACCATTACCCTAACTTTCTTTAATCAATTGAAGTTAGATTTTGTTTTTCAAAACATCAGCTTACTTTTACTTTGCATAGATGTTAGAAATGCATATAAGAAGAAGTGCTGAATGTAACATTAATATGTAACAAGTGTGGTGTTAGGAATAGATATTTCTTTGTTCTCAGACCGTTAGAACAGGGGCCCTGTTGAAGAGACATTCTTTCTTTAATGCAAAGAAAGATAAGATGTGATGGGAGGTCATTGGGAGGTATCAAAGGAGATGATGTGGTCTCCATAAGGTGTCTCGGATTAGCTGTTCTCAGTCACTGGGTCGATGTAGGAGGGGCGTGGGGGGGCATCGGGATAGAGGAACTATAAAATGTAATGTATTGAAATCTTAAGGTGTGGCTCCTGGCTCAAACTTCATGTTGAAGTCAGATGAGATCCCCCGCACTTTGCAAACAGCTTAACAAAATAAAATCTCTGTGTTTTCACCGATCCAAGTTTTTGTCATTTGGATTCATTTCCAACACTGGCAATTGTCAGCCAACAGAATTAGCCTGCAATACTGCATTCTAACCACTGCGCCAACAGAGCTCATACTAGATCCATGCTTTTTATTAGCACTGTGTTTTGGATTTTAAAAAAAGGTGCCATGGTGAGTATAGGCTCCATATTACACATCAGTGCTTCTGATGTTTAGACTATGAGTAAAAAGAAAAGTTTTTTCAATTCTTTCTGTTGTGTCTTCATCCTAATGAAAAATGTTACTGCCCGCATCGATTTGCTCAGTAGGTTCTGTTTATTTGTTCATTTGTTGTTTTATTTTGACAGTAAGACAGAAGCAAAGAAGATCTTTATAAGGAGTAGTTGGGTGCCAAGTGCAAAAAAGCTGCAAGGAAACACTACTGCTATCCTTGTCACTGTTCTTCTTCAACTCTTTTGTCCCTGTACTTGCTTTTGCAAGCAGCAAGACATGGACCTTCACAAGCAATTCAATAGAATGCTACAATTGCAGTCTGATTAAATGCATATTTCTTTGTAAACCACTTTGGAAAAAAAAAAGCAGAACCAATAAAATATTTGCATGTGAAAATAAATAACTACTAAGAAAATACATTCAGCTCAAGAATGAACTATGGAATCCTTGGTACGATCTGAGCTTGGTTGTTTGCTTGCAGGAATTTTATTTATTTGTTTAAAACATTTATATAGCCAGATTAAAAAACATAAAATTATGTTAAAAACTATAAAATACAACTAATTAAAACTTAAGATTAAAAATATTAGAAAAACATTACCCAACTAAGTAAAATGATCATTGCTACGAGGGAGTGGGATTTGTTCTCTATATAGATATATAGTATCTTGCTTATATTTGATAAATAATTATCATTTGACTGAATTTATACCATTTTATTTAGCATAAAGCGGAGTGTTTAGTTTGTATTGTAAATCACATTAAGAACACGGATGTGCGTGTTTTCTAGGCATATAATTATGATTTTTTTAGGCATTGTAATAATGTGATACAGAATAACTTGTATGAGTTCTACATATTACAAATACTGCCAATATTCTGCCATTAAAGATGTTGTTCCAATTTCTGAATTTTCTCTAATAGCTCAGAGTAGCAAAGAATTGAGCACTAGGTCTGGAAGACCGGGCAGCTGGCTTATAGTCCCCAGTGTCATTAGAGCATAATGGCTAAAAAAAATCAATTTATCCATTACAATGAAGATTGGTACTATAATGCAAAATAATGCATTTATTCAATAGAACTTGCCAATGCAGCTGAAAAGACTTGCTAATTGTCCTGCATGGAGTGGCTGAAATCAACCTCTGTCAGTAAAATTGTACTTTGGATCCCTATTTGTAAGATTTTTAAGTAAGATTTATAGTATAAACTACTTCTGATTTAAGATCAAGCCTATGGGAGACTTTTTTTAAAAAGAAACTACTTTGCACCCTCCTCCCTAAAATGCCATTATAATCTAAAGTTGCACTGACATATCAGCAAATAGGTTTACCCTGTTTTTCTTAACAATAATTTTTTGCTTGGATGATCTATTCTTGGAAAAGCATCAGTAGAAATATGTCAAGTATATCAGGAAATGCTGCAGGAAGCTTGGCTCTCATTTGCTGCAACTTTATTAATCTGTCATTGAATGACTTGCTAAATCAAGAAAAATGTCACTAATCAAAAATAATGTTGGAAACTGATGGTATTGGGAATTACCATCAGTTTGGAAAGGCATCCAAAGTCTCTGTGACTTTCTTCTGTTACTATAATGAGACATGGAATCACTTCTCGCTTAGTTGAACTATGCCCAGCAATGTTGCACAAAAATGTGCAAGAATAGCTGCCAGGAACATAGATTTACATTGAAATAGCACCCCCCACCCCCATCCCATATGTGTGTGTGTGTGTGTGTGTGTGTGTGTGTGTGTGAAAGAGAGAGAGACAGAGGAAGGGAGGGAGGGAGACACACACACATGGGAGACAAGTGACTTAGAAATGAATCATGATGCAAATATCACACCTTACAGACTGAATTGCCTTTAACTTTTTAAAGCTTTTTTTAAGCTTATGTCTAAATGTGATTTTGACCCAAATGGGCCTTTTTATCCCCCACTCATAATATAATGGTTGCATTAGTCCATGCACAGCATAAATCCAGTTGCTGTGATGCTTCTTGACAGTCAGGACAATTCTGCACAGTAGCCTCAAACTGCTTGTCTCCTGTGCTGACACTGATTGGAAATAACACCATCTTAGGAAATTGCTGGCAAGATTTCAAGCTTTGGCAATAATGCTGGCCAGGTGTTCTTACTGGACAATGGTTATCCCACCCTCCCAACTGCTGAGTTTCCCTGCTTCGTTTACCCTTTCCACCTGACCAGGAAAAATAAGTGCCAATAGCTTATCTTTCTCTAAAGAGGCAGAAGGACACAAAGTTTCTATTTGTGAGTACAAACTATAATTATTCATGGATCAATCCTTCTGGAAGGGACTTTAGAGACAATCTAGTCTGATTCCTCTGCTCCATCAACCAGCTAAATAAAAGCCAGCAGTGTGCAGCAGCAGCCAAAAAAGCTAATGCAATCCTAATTTGCATTAACAGAAGGATACAATCAAGATCAAGTGAGGTACTAATGCCACTCTATAAAGCCTTAGTAAGACCACACCCAGAGTACTGCATCCAGTTTTGGTCACCACACTATAAAAAGATGTTGAGACTAGAAAAAGTACAGAGAAGAGCAACCAGGATGATTAGGGGACTGGAGACTAAAACATATGAAGAACGGTTACAGGAACTGGACATAGCTAGACTAGTGAAGAGAAGGACCAGGGGAGACATGATAGCAGTCTTCCAATATTTGAGGGGCTGCCACAGAGTGGAAGGGGTCAAGCTATTTTCTAAAGCTCCTGTAGGCCAGACAAGGAATAATGGATGGAAACTGAAGGAAACATTTAACCTGGAAACAAGGAGAAACTTTCTGACAGTGAGAACAATCAACCAATGGAACAGCTCACCCTCAGAAGCTGTGGGAGCATCATCACTTGAGATTTTCAAGAGGAGATTGGACTGCCATTTGTCAGAAATGGTGTGGGGTCTCCTGCTTGGGTGGGGGGTTGGGCTAGATAACCTACAAGATCCCTTCCGACTCTGATTATCTGTTATCATTGCTCTCAATGAGCACAATACAGATACTCCTCCATTTA